CTCCCGGTTTCTTTGGGGGGGGGGGGGGGGGCTGTGCTCAACAAGCAGTCGGTCTTGTAGAAGTTTTAGTGGCATCCCGCCGCTCTGCCCGAGATGGCTTAGTGGATTGGAGAATTGTCCCATTATGAAAGTATACACGGCACGCTAGTGTTGTGTAGATACCCAGCCCCCCCCCCCCGCTGAGGCAAATAAACGTGCAGCCAACGATGACATCACGCATTTCCGTCGTTTCGGTGGTCCTGTTTCTTGTTTCGCCCAAACGATTGTGTTGTGTCGTGTTCAGTTAAGCACCAAGACAGTCCGGAAGATCCTGAGAGACGCCTACAAGCATCTCAAGGGCCTGGGCAACATCAACAAGGTGCCGCTCAACTCGACGGAAGAAAGCGTCACGGTGGTGAGTCACGTGTTAATAGGTTGCCGCTGTTGCTGTTTGTTGTTGCTGCTGCGGCTGTTGTTGTGTTTGTTGTTGTTGTTGTTGCTGCTGCCGCCGCTGCTGTTTGACATGCCTTTGTCTGCTGTTTCTGTGGTTCTTTGCTGCTGTTGTTGTTAGCTTGATGATGGCGGTGCTATTGCTGAAGTTTCTGCCTTTGCTGTCGCTGTTGTCGCCTCCCTCGAGGGTGCTGCGGGTTGTCTCATTTAGCTCGGCGTCAAAACTGAACGAATCATGTGCACCAAACTCCGTCCACCTGCACGAGACCCGAGCCTACAGACGCGATGTCCCATGTCGTACAACACCGCTTGTTCCTCGCGACGGCGCAAACCTCTGTCGAACGAAACACTAAGTGAATTTCATACATGATGACAAGGTGGGAGACATCCATGGGCAGCTGGCGGACCTGGTGTGCCTGATGAACCACAACGGCCTTCCGTCGGAGACGAACAAGTACATCTTCAACGGAGATTTCGTAGACCGCGGCTTCCAGGGGGTGGAGGTATGTCGGAGATTTCGTATGTGTACCGCTGTACCGTGTTTTGTCTTTTTGGGTGTTGAGTGCTAGGTTTGAGTGTTCACCCCTCTTGACGTAGGTATGCCTTTTGTGCACGCCGTTTCGTGTTTTGTGTGGTCCTTTTCTACGTGACGGGTGCGTTCCTTGTTCGTCCGACGCCCGCGTGTATTGTACCTCTTGCCTGCATCTCTGGCGCGCATGTACAAGTACATCTCTTGCGTACACTCAGCAGGGTGCAGTACCTGGAAAAAGGTGTACCGGTACGACGTTGTTCGTGTGTACTCTCAAGTGGTACTTGTGTGTACCCTCTTTTGGGCAGTTCCCTTCACTCGGCGTGATTTCGTCTGTGTCTCTTGCGCACAAACGTTCCCATGCCGGGAGCGTGCGAGAGGCGGGATGGGGAGGGGGTAGGGGATTGGGGGCATTGAAAGGAGAGAGAACGAGAATAAGAGAGAGAGAGAGATGTCCCTAAGTTCAAACTCCTCACGAAGTATTACAACCGGAGTTGAGCTTTACCTTTTTTTTGTCGTCGCGTGCGGTGTGCGTGCTGCAGGTGCTGGTGCTGTTGTTCCTCCTGATGACGGTGTTCCCGAACAGCGTTTTCTTGAACCGCGGCAACCACGAGGACTTCGGCCTCTGCTGCGTCTACGGGTTCCAGAAGGAGTGCTTGGACAAGTACAACGACGTCGTCTTCAGGTACGTAAAGACCGGTTATCCATAT